CAAATTTAAAATATTAAAAGAAACTAAAAGGGGTGGTGGTTTTACTGTGTATTATTTAATATTCACCCTTTCATAAATCATTATAGATTGGAACAATGATTTCTTCTTAATTTTTCAATTTGATCCTTAATTTCTTGTTCTACACAATTAAACCCTTCTAGACCCAAATTAATAGTCAATTAGTTTCTTTTTGTAAAAAGAGGGTGAAATTGAAAAATAAATGACCAAAGTAAAAAAAACATGAGCAAAATAGGTGGCAGATTCGAATTTCATCCAAAAAATTTAGTTTAGTCCCTCATCTTTTTAACTTAATAGGTGAAACCCTTTAGGTTTTTAGAAATTTCTGTGTAGAGAGAGAAAACTCATCATTGACACCTATTCCAATCACCAAGATTAAAAAATCATGGAAAGTGTATAATTACAATTCTAGAAAATGAAAAATAGAGTTTTGAGCTTTCTAAAGTCATGGCCAAGAAAGGAAAAGAGGTGGGGAAAACTTTGACTGGTTAGTATTCAAAACTCATTTTATTACCTGTTAAGGAGCTACAAACTCATTTAAATAAGTTTGAATGAAAATAAATAAATTTAATGAATAATTTTTGAATTTTTAAATTAGAGTTCTTGGAAGATAATTTGGAGAAAATGTGAAATTGTTATAGTTTGATGTAATTGTGATAGAATATGTTGTAAATTAATGAATAATTAAAGAATAAAGATGAGTGTTTTTTTAGGGAGGAGGGGTCGATCACATGAGGAAAAAAAGAGGAATTTGTGGGAGCTAAAACCAATGTATTTTTTTTTTTTATCTATTTGTGTTTTGTATGTGTTGATGTACTTATATTGATTTGAATTGGATTTAAATTAATCTATCTAAATATGATAAAAAAAATTCCTACTTTAGCTTAAAATCTCATTAAAAGAAGGAAGAGAATTATTTGAAATTTATGATTTAAATTATGTTAAAATTAATGCATGAATGTGGCTTGAATGACCAAATTGAAATATATTTGAAATTAAGGTATAAAAGCGCAAAGTAAAAGAGTTAGATAAAATTTATGAAAGTTATGAAATACCAATGAGTATTAAACATAAGCAAATATGACTACTAATGTTAGAGGAAACTAAATGTATTTTGAATACAATCATAAAGTTCATATAACAATATTTAGTCAAGAATTTATTTTGAAATTTTATGAATGAGTATCAAGAGATAAGAAAGAGTAAATAAAATCATTGACTTAAAATGAAATTGTGAGAAATAAACTCTTGATGGTGAGATGATTTAATTTAGAAAATATCAACCTGCCATTAGGTGTAGAGGTTAATGTCAACTTGTCATTATGTATTAAAATTAATGTTGACTTGCCATTAAAATGAAGGTCAATACTAACTTTCCATTAGGTATAGAGATTAAAGAATAGAACCTGCTATTATATACGGAGGTTTTGTGTAATTTAAATTATAGAATGAAATTACCATTGAAAAGGAGATTAAGCAATATATATAGTTCTAATTATATGATGTATAAAAAAAAACTAGTTTGTGAAGGAAAAAAAACTTAATGATATGATTTAATGCATGAAGATATGAATTATTGAAAATATGAAATGAACTAGAAAAAAGAGAGGCAATGTCAACTGGTTATGCCATGATATAAATTAAATGCTTGTGTTAGTTCATTAATTTATTATAAATAAAGTGTTGCTCTCTAATGATTGAAATGTAATTTAACATGCATGATCCTTTTATATAGTCGGATCATCTTGGTCTATCTTCTAGGTTGTTAGTTTTATATAGTTAAGATAATATTTTGTTATATTATCAAACTATATAAAAAACTATCTTTTTAGTTTTGTATCTATTAAAATGTATTGTTTAATTAAAGTTCTAAACTTATTTCCTTTTTGTTTGTAAAAATATATAAATAACATGTATAAGTTCATGTTCTAAATTTCATAGTTGATGATCTTTGGTTGTAATTTAAATTAAATTACATAGATATATTTGCATTGTATTAAATTGTTATGTGAATTGGATGAAAGAAAAAGTGCAATGAATGATGTTGATACAAACATGTCTGAGGTTGCGAAGACTTTGTTATATTAATTGTTGACTGTTGAGTGTTCATTACAAATATCAATAATGATGTATGGATAATGATAAACAAAATAAACAAACAAAGAAGATTATATCAAGATTTTGGTAGAAACGAGAAATTCTGAAAAGGTGATTATATATATAATGTAAAAGGAAAATACCTTTATCTACCATGAAAATACAAAATTAATCTAACATTGGTATGATTAAAACATGGATTGTTATAAAAAAAATGTTTAATATTTAGTGTTAATGGGTTTCACTAGACGAGAAGAATCTTGTGGTGGTTGTTTTAAGCTTTAATATAATCTAAAAAATTAGATTTAAGTCAAGGATGAGATACTATATTTATTTTAATTTTGTAATTTAGATCGTTTTGTGGGTTTACTAGGTTGATATATTGATTTCTTGATGTTTTTAGGGTGTTTATAAGATGCATTTAGGATGAAATAAGTTGAAAATGAGTTTTTTAGCCTTGATTTTCTAGTCACCACAATGATGGCTGGAATCTTAGCTGATAGATGATATGTCGTCTACCCCAATAACCAACGTGTTAGCTGCGTATCTTTTCTTTTTTTTTAAAAAAAAAAGATGAGGGTGGATAATAGGTCATATGTCCTTTTAAATAAATAAATAAAATATCTAGGTGCATGGCCGTGAGTTTGAAGTCCCACATATCTGGGCTTTTACTTTCAAAGGTCAAGGCACTAGCCCATTGGGTTGTGTTGTTGGGCACCTTTTTAGCTTTTTTTTTTAAATATATTTAAGTTAAATATAAATTTATATAATAAATATTGAACTCGATTAAGTCTATGCCTTGAATAACAACTTTAACGGTTTAAGCCATATCACCCGAGCTATTTTCTCTCTCTTCTTTTTATGCATTTTTTTTGTCCCTTAATTTTTTTAAATATACAATTTCTCTCTTTGTCTTTGCTATCTTAGTTTCACATGTTTTTTCTCTTTAAAAAAATATTTTATACAAAAACAATTGACAAAAACTTTATTGTCATATAAATCTATCAAATCAAAAATAATTTATGAGATAAAAAAATTATCTAATTTGATGACATACATGACTTGTGTTGCAAGTTTGGTTGGTTCACTCGTATTCACATGGTGTTTTTTAATTAATTTTTGTTTTTATTTTTATTTTTATCCTTAAATATTGACTTAATTAAAAAATTAGTTTCCAGTCTTGCATGTTAACTTGGATTAATTTAAATAGATTTAATATTTTTTTTATCTTAATATTAGATAAAAATATCATTTACTATATAATTAGTTTTAAATTCATCAATAAAATCTATTTTTTTAAAATGTGTTAACAATACTTAGATTTTTTTTGTACTTCAAAAAATAATTTGCTCAAACTTAAAGCTTAGTGAAAGACAATTGGATTAATTAAAATATTTTATAAATGAACATGCTGACATATTTTTTCTAGTGATGCACTAATAACTTTATTATCTTGATATTGCATGAACAATATTTTTTAAATAAAAAATTTGAAGATTAATTAATTAGTAATTTATGTAAAATATTATGTTGTAGAAAGATTAATGAAAATAAAGATGAAAAAATAAAATAATTTTTTTATATAAAAAACCAAATAAATTAGACTAAAGTACAAAAAACATAATCAGATTTAATAATAAGTAATATAAAATTGTATTTCAAATAGCGTTTCATAAAAATTTAAAAAATATTTTTATTTAAAATTATTTTTAAATATTTTTAGATTATTTTAATATGCTGATATCAAAAATAATTTTTTAAAAATAAAAAAAATTATTTTTATATATTTCTGAGCAAAAAATACTTTGAAAAATGACTATTATTATATTTTTAAATACTCTATAAGTATATTAAATCTAACAATATTAAAAATAAAAAAAATTAGTGTAAATAATATAAAAAACTGAAGAGACTCTCAAAATAATAGGAAAAAAAAATTTAAATATGATTAGCTTATATCTTACCCACCCATGCTTGACATTGAATATGAAAAAATGTCCACATGTGAATGTAAAAGAAAATATTCCCAAAGTGATTCTCGAAAATATTTAAGTGTCATTACCATTTATTGAGACTTATAGAATCTTAAAGCATAATTCTAAGACAACTAACTACAACTAACTAACTAGATGTTTGGTCGTTACAAAGTTCAAACCGCAAGATGCACATGTCGTTGAGTCGAGAGACAAATACTTTCAGAACGATGACATGGCAATACCAAGGACACCGACCTGAAGTTCCTGAACCGGAAGTGGGAAATTAACAGTGAAACGGCAGCACCTGAATTCTGAGATGGCAGTACCAGAGACAACCGTCACAACACATGCCTTTTATTTTGCCTCTTGCCGGTTGCTGGGCAAAAATATCCTGAAACTCCTCCGCACTTCCATGATGTGAACTCAACCTTTATCTCTCGAACAGCGGAACGACAGCTGGCCGCGTGTTCTCAAGATTTTTTTTATTTTTTTTTAATTCTTTAGATTTATTTATATTAAAAATAAAATTTTAAAAATATGAAATATTATTTAAATATATTTTTAATAAAAAATTAAAAAATAATTATGAAAACATTTTTAATATGGATTTTTACTCAACCCTCATTTTAATAAAAAATTTAAAAAATTAAAATATTATAAACTGCACCAAACTGTATTTTTTATTTTAAATAAATTAGAAAAAAATATATTAAATTATTTTTTTAATAAATAAAGGAGTTATTTGAGAAAACATTTAAAAAAGAGCTTTTTAAAAATTTGATTTTTTTAATTTTTTATTGTTTTGTTATATTAATATAAAAAATATTTTTAAAAAATAAAAAATTTATTATTTTTATATATATTTTTTAAAAAAAAACCTTTAACTAACACAGTAACAAACACCCTATTAGTAGACGAAACACTGAACTGGTTCAGGTTTTCATAGAAAAATTCTTTGCAAACCAGCTAACTTTCCAACAGCCTAACCTTGTAGAATTATTTCACAGCAAATTAAATAAAATATAATTTTTTTAGTACTACATGTACAACCTTAACATAAAATAATAATAACAGTGATGACACCATTGGTGCTGATTTATCTTCTCTCTGCCACAATCTCTTTCTTGTCTTTGTGCATGACCTTGTTTGTTTACACGCTACTACTTCCATGGCTAGAGCTAAAGCACAAAGACGCACTCTTGACTCTTACACTGTTAAACCCATCAACAAAACCGTTAAACGTAAGTCCTTCACCTTCACTGCTCAACCCACCTTTTTTCTTCTCCAATTTATATCATCTCTATTAACTAAAAAATGAAAATGAAATTCTTTCGTTTTGTAGCTGGAGATTGCGTCTTGATGCGGCCAGCGGATCCGTCGAAGCCTTCTTACGTGGCAAAGATTGAGCGGATCGAGTCCGACGGTAGAGGGCCGAACGTGAGAGTACGGGTGCGGTGGTATTACCGGCCGGAGGAATCAATCGGTGGTCGCCGGCAGTTTCATGGCTCAAAGGAGGTTTTTCTATCCGATCATTATGATACTCAGAGTGCAGATACGATTGAAGGGAAGTGTATGGTTCATAGTTTCAAGAATTACACGAAGCTTGATGCTGTTGGAAATGATGATTTCTTTTGTCGTTTTGAGTATAATTCGTCTACTGGTGCTTTTGATCCTGATAGAGTTGCCGTGTATGTCTCGAATTTCCCCTTTTTTAATGCGATTTTGATGGTTTAATTCAGTGGCGATATTTATGCTATTAATTCGGGAATCTTATCTTAATTGTGGTTTGATGGATTTTAACTTGATATTTTTAATTTAGGATTAGAATAGTGTAAAAGGCTTTTCGTAATTGTGGCAGGTATTGCAAATGTGAGATGCCTTACAATCCTGATGACTTGATGGTTCAATGTGAAGGCTGCATTGACTGGTAAGCTGTGTTTTTTAGATTATTTAAATTGTTTTGAAGCCCTTTTCCGACTTCTAGTTCAGGTTTTGTGGATGGGTTTTTATTCTGTGATGCTGTTTGGATTTTGCTAGGTGAGATCTTTCAATTCCATTACTACTTCGGTGCCTGTAGGTTTTAGCTTGTTAGAAAGCTGTAGCTGCTTGCTATCCAAATGTCAATGGGACTGTACTTTGATTTTCCTTTCTGCGAGAAAGGATCTAATTCGATTTATAACACCATATTTCCAGTTATCAGTTGCTTTGTCATACTTCTTTCAAAGTTCAAACTGAGGGGAATAGGCATTACATTTTATCTGCAAAGTCGCTCTGGGATTGTAATGGATGACAATTGAGATTGGATTACAGTAATATTTTCTACGGTTATTTTGAAGTTGATTTGGCACGTGGCATATGAAGTAATTTAGATCTGTCTTGTTAAGCAATTACAGCCACTCTGTGATTCTCTAAGATATGTCCAGCAGGAGCAATGGGCAGGACAGATAAGTTGTTCTCTACTTGCAACTGAAAATGGGAGTAACTGATATGTTAAAAAGAATGGGAAAAGGTCATCATGAAAAGAAAGAAGAATGCTTGCACCATGTCTTCTGTTTGCATGCTTTCTTCCCTTTTCTTTTCCAAACTTCCTCTAGCATGTGATTGGAGGGACATGCCTCGATCGTGAGGTTTGTTATTAACCTTCACTTTTAAGGAGCTTCTTATATTGAGTTCTGAGGAGAAATACGTGTCCCTAGTTCAGAAGGAGTGCACGACTAGGGTATAGAGACTTATGTTTCACATGCCTTTTCGTATGTGGATGTCTGTGCATTTTAATGGGATGTTTTTACCAAACAACTGTTTTAGTGCAGACATATCCGATTTATGCAAATACAATGGGAAAACAATGCATCTTCAGCATACTACTTTTTGATTCAGGTTTCATCCTGCTTGTATAGAAATGTCTGCAGAGGAAGCTAAAAGACTTGATCATTTCTTCTGTGAAAACTGCTCATCTGAAGGCCAGAAGAAGCTGCAGAATTCCCACAATACCAGACAATCAGATGCAAAGGTATCCTCATCCACTGCAGTGTTGAGTGTGTTTTGAAGTCTTTACTGGTCATTCAAATGCCTGGTTTTCCCTGGACTGAATCTGGCATGCACATATTAATAATCTCATGGCATTTGTCATCCAAATTGTTTTTACTGGACTGAAGCTGACATGCACATCTGCCATTCTTCTTTTAAATGTTTCTTGTGTTTATAGATTTATAATTGCTTTGGCTTTTCATGGAATGCGGTGTATGGAGATTTTTGTACAATGAGTGCATAATGCTTAAAATGCACGAATAAACTTAATCCAACAATCACCTAACAACACATGCACATGTTCTGAGAGATAGAGAGGAGTGAGGCTGAGTCATGGAAAGGTATTCTCAACTCGTTATTGCCAAGGAACCTTTTTATGATATTATTGGATAAGAATGAACAGTGCAATCAAAACTCCCGTTGTCAATCTGATATAATTGCATCCTGGGATAAAAAATACAAAGCCTGTGGGGTTTTGCCAAGAGTTTAGGTATGATGGTGGATCTGGACATGTATGGGAAGTGGAGGAAGCGTGTGCCCATTAAGGCAAACAAGTCACTTGGCATGCCAAGAGCATTTTATTTAATTTCCTGACTCCCTTTGTGTGCTAATTAATTTGGAAGAGTGGGTCTCTCTCTTTCTTTGTTAATTTATGGCAGCTTGCTGTTGTCCTATGATAATGGGGATTCTGTGCTTCCAACAGAGAAAGGGATCCAGGTTGAAGTTGCATGTAAATGGCAGATAAACTCAAATACACCAAGTGTGAATTTACATATTGATATTTTTTTGCCACCGCATTCTTGCAGGCGGAAACAAAGAGGCGCCGGAGGTGATGAAGTAAATAAAATACAAATGCTGATGTACAATGATAGTAGAGGAACTGGAGCTCTGTTTTTAACCCTGGTTAGGCTTCAAGCAAACACGCAGGCAGATACATCTGCATCACAAGCTGTTGTATATCTGTGAGTGAGTTCATGGCAGAGGGAAACTGGCTTGAAAACCTTGTCATGTGTAGATATCCTTGATTTGGGGGTTAGTCACCCTGTCGAGGATGTGTTTGGTTGTTTGTAGGTTATGTGATCATGTACATGTTTTTCACTCTGGTTTCTTGTTTCTATAAACCAGGGCTGTGTATAATCCAAACTCGTTTAACTTGTAAATAGATACGCGTTTATGCCTCTCTACCTTGGTACACATAGGGAATCCACTGGTTAGAGCAAGTAGGAGCAGGCACTGCACAGAGGCCAGGGGAGGATCTTGCTAAGCTGCCACTGGATGGGAAGGAATCCTTTTCTCGAAAATGAAATTTGAAAAATGCTTTCATTTCTTTTTTTTCTCATGCCATCTCAGCAAGTGCCGATCACACCATGAAATGCAGGTAAATCCGTTTAATAAATCTAGTTGTTATGCAACGCAAGTAAACTGGGATGTTTTATAATTCAAATGACTTCCATGCCGATCACACCATGAAAACAGACTCTTCAATTAAAAGTCATCGGTGTCGTTTCAGTAGAGCTCCTAACAGCCTCCTGCGCTTGTTTGATCCTCTTGCTCGCTGAGCAAATGCTACTGTTTAATAGCAAGAATGATTCTGTTTCGTTTTCATTTAGGCTCTTCAATGCCATGTGCATGCTTGGTGGTTAGAGGATGAGTACAAAATTTAATACAAACAATGGAAGCTCAGTTTTCACATTCTGATACAAATGAATCACGAAAATATATGCTACAGATGGCTTAGCAGTTACCAAAGAATGATGCAACAATGCAAAGCTAAATTTCCTTGTTTATTCTTGGAGTGTGGGCGCGACTTGTTACCGCTTATATTTGTCTTGACCTGTCTTTTCTCTCTTCCATACAATAACGATGCCATACAGATCGGATGTAGCCAGCAAATTCTCCCCGTGGTTCCACGCAACATCACCGACTGGAAAGCGATGACCCTGCAGTCAGAAATGCACATCATGGTGAGAACATGGTGATGGTGGTGGTGAAGTTGTGAAACATCAAAAGCCAGTATGCAACAGAGATGGACCTGTAGCTTGTTGACGCATGTATGCTTTGGCCGAGTCAAATCATAGAAATAAACGTTTGAATCCTCACTTCCGGCAACTTCATGTTATAAAAAAAAAAAAAAAAAAAAAAAAAAAAAAAACCAAAACCATTTCAGTTGAGATAAAGCAGTCATTACTGTTCCCAAACTCAAGATTCTTTTCAAGGATACGTGAACACTCAATTCTAGACCAAAACCTCACAATTTTAACAGAATTTTTCATGCTTCACGGTCTACTCTCATCCCTTATTACATTCTCTCTAAGAAATGCACTGTAGGAAGATTCAGCGGTTCAAAACAAATGTTGCAGAAAATCTCTGGGGTTGTAAGAAAGTAGAAAAAAAGAGCACTGGGATTGCGGGATTGTTGCAGAAGAGCACATAAAAGTTGAGTGTGGAAGGTGACAACAGAGTTACTACTCAAGCATATGATGACCTACAAATACATCAAATTTTATTGACATGCAGATATACATGTGTATGCACAGTTGTTTTTGCATAAGCTTTTTAGTTGTATTCTAGGCTCACATGGACAAATGATAGCTGACCAAATATTAGAACCTTCATTGCAGTAATTAAATACAAACCTATATACTCTCCCTTTTCAAGGGAAAGCAAGGGGCAGAAAGAAGCCCGAATGCTATGTACTCGTGGAGCCAATTTGAGTGAGCAACGAAGAGTCAGATAACCTTTTATTTCCAAGGCAACACTGCAACACAAACATAACATCCTCTAAATCACTTCAAATTAGAAGACCTAACAGTGGAAGACATGTCAGATATACAAACCTATAGAACGACAAACTTCCATCTTGAGTACAGGTCAGCAACACAGGGCCTCCTGCTAGCAGAGAGAAACTCCGGTACTGAACAGTTGTTACTGGATATTTGCTCTTGCCACTACTTCGATAGCGATGAGACCGGGACAATGCACCTGTGTGTGAGTCCATGCTTGTGGAGTATACACATCCCTGCATGTATAGCTCGGTGAATAGCTATTCGAAAAGGTACTACAAAAAGTCATCCAATGGTGATGGTTATTTAATGCATTTACAGAAGAGTCACCTGTGCATCCCCGCAGAAAATGAGGTGACCAGTGTGATCATGGTCCATAGATGTAACCTTATCGTCCAACACCAATTTATTAATAATCCTGCCAGTGCTGAAATTGAATACCTGGTATATCAATGAAGAGGAACTACAAATCAAGTGGAATCAATCCAAGTGAAAACTATAGGCCAGGCCAGGGAAGGGCATGACCAAGTATGATCACATGTTTAGAGGTTCTCATTTTGAAATTGCATCAGTATGAAAGCTTGTATATAAGTTGGCAACCTCACAAACTGAGTGAGTAGGATTGTTTTACTTTAAATCATGAAATGTGGTAGAAGTTTTCTCAAATTCAAGCAATTATGCGAGAAAAATTTGGGTGGATACAGCTAGTCATATAAACGAGTTATGATGTTGCAGGGAAAGGAAAATAGTACTTACGGTAATTCCTCTGTTTGCATTGCCAACTGAGAGGAAGTTGTTGTTTACCTGCATGATGGAGACAAAAGAGGAAACGTTGGGTGGCCAATCAAGTCATGAAGAATGATTAGAATGTATTAAATATAAAAAATTTCCCATTCAGATGATCACATATATGCACATGCACAAATTATCAGGGGAGAGGGGGAGAGGAAGTTCAGTGCATACTTACAGGATGAAAACGAATACACAATTGTGAAGAGACTCCATATATTACTCGAATGCAAATTCCTTCTGATAACTCCCATACTCTCACAGTTTTATCCATGGATGCTGAAGCAATGTACTGATTATTGGACGAGAAGTCGAAGTCTGGCAGTACTTTTCTGACTTAGAAACGCGGCAATGATAGCAGAAAAATATAAACTTGCACTCAATCAATATAATTAGCAGCGTGCTTGGTGAGATTATATTGGATAAAGAAACTAAACATTTGCACTCCTCTCTCTGATGACTCCTCATAGAGCATGCATGTGCAGGAATAGTCATGCTTACAAAAGTATTAAAAGATAAACCAATGTTGTTAAACTAAAGAGATAGTGCATGGAGTGTTGAACTAAATAAAAACAAGATTCAGAGCCATCAGAACTTAATTCACAAAGACCTGGGAAAATGCAATAGCCAGAGACAAAATGAAGTTCGTATGGTTCTACAGTCCAATCATACACACAAATAAATTTACTAGGTAGGTTCCACTTAAATTGGTTTGTTCATTTTTGAATGATACATGAGATCATGCTTTCTTTTCCATTTCTAGTTGTTCACCTGTAAGATACCTGTCACTGATCTTCACTCGACCTATCACACCAATACCACAGGTTGCACAAGAGACTAGAATACAGTGTCACTCCAATACAAACAAAGGGCTTGTTGCTTAGGATTAGCAATTCCATGTGCGCCTCAATTGTCTAAATTATAATGAAATGTGAAATCATGTCTTTAATAATGGAAACATGCATGCAAACCCATACAAACAAATTGTTAGGGACCTGAAATATAAGAAAAGACCATAGAAACAATACCAGTCAATCAAACCTGTGACATCTTTAGAATGGCCCTCTAATTTTTTGATGACTGAAGGTGGGTCTGAGACTAAGCACACTGTCAAGGTTCCATCTGACGCCCCATATGCAAGTAATTCAGAACTCATGTGCCCAAACTTCAAAACAGTAACTGCACATAAGACCAAGGATGCTCAGTCTAAGAAGATAGATTAACCAATCAAAGTATAATATGACAAGAGAAATGAAAGAAGTCTATATCGGTAACATAAAGAAATACCAGCAGCTTTGCAATGATCAAAGATGCAATGCATTCCTACAAAAGAATATGCAGGTTCAGCCCCTCTGCGGCGTAGGGAATCATTATCACTTGCAGTTGAGCTGAAACTTGTTCTGTGAGTAGAAGGCAGGTTGGTACTTCGCAGGTCCTGAAAATGAAGTTCACACATGAAAAAAAAATTAATCAATGATGTGGTATTTTCAAAGTTATAATCAATAACTAAAAATCACAAGAAATTAAGTTGGTAGTTCCTGGCGTAGAATGGAAGCTAAAGTCCAATGAGAAGAGAAGAGGTGGTATGGGCAGATGAAGAGTAGTTAGTAGTTATACACATACATGGATATTTTGGGTTGTTTTTCCTTGTAAGTGAGAACAAAAGGCTTTAGCTCTATTTAATCATGTAACTTTTACTTTCTACTCAGGTAAAAATATTGTTTTCAGCAATTAAGTTTAAGGTTGATGAGTTAACATAAAAGTAAAACACATAACTTGTCAGATCATACTAATGTCAAATATCAAACATATTAGAAAAAGGAGGTAGTGGGGACAGGGGTGCCATGGCAGGTTCCTTGAATAAGTACATTACTTGTGAAAAAATATATTTTTAACTCTATGGAGCCTGTTAAGAGTTTATGACAGAATCACTAAATGCAGTCAGAGGTACAGATAGAACATTTTTAATTATCAAAAGAAAATCCACGAGAAACTGAAGCATACCCTGCTGGAAGTCCAACTGTCCACCTCGAACAAATGGGAAGGTGGAGTCATAGATTGAAGCCATCGCCCACTGATGCATCAACCAGTAAATCATCCTGATGTCAGAATTGTATAAAGAAATAGATTTAAAATAGAAGTCACAACTCACAAAGTGCATTTTTATATAAGTTCATGTTGATTCTCAATACAAAGTGAAAGAAAATAACATTAGCTCAGTTAGATACATAGAAATGTTCCTTGATGTAAGGGAAGTCAAATGTCAGATAGTTGCAAAAAATTTCTGAACCCCTGGTGCAAAGGTGTGTGAGTATAATTCAGTTAGTACAAGATGTCAATCAATATACACAACTAGCTGCACTCAAGTAAAGTATCAGCAACCTGTTTCCGGGAGTGCTTTGGTGGCTTGGCAAGCCATCCCAATTTATTGGCCTGCGAATGTAATTACGATAGCTTGCATACCCTTTTCCATTGCATCTCCAATCCTTCATAAAATGTATTCGCAATAAGAACTTGTAGAAGAAATGATTAGATTTCATTTGTGCAGTCCTGCTACTTGCTAGAAAAGTAACTTCAGTTTCATAGGTAATAAAATAAAAAACACTAGAATA